TATAGTAGTTCTGATGTCTCCAAAAGCAGTTTCGTCGTTTGTGCTGCACCCGAATCCCACATCTGGGATTTCCAATAGCCGCATGTGTAATCTTGCGCGAGAACTCCTCTTTACGAGGATGTTACATTCCGAAAAACGTCGTCTCATTACATCTCATTAATTGTCAACTTCAGTAACATTAGTTGAGTTTCTGGCTCTAGGTTTCCAGTGTTAATAAACATGGGCCACTACCATCTTTATCTCGGGGTATTTTTTCGTCACGATTTCGCTGGTCGACTATCTAGCACACAGTCATGATATCATAAGCGTAGAGTGATCCAGACTGTGGTTGGGGCCATGCATGCGTACATCATGAAACTCCAAACCGGCAGCCCTCCGTTCGGCATCGGGAGACTGTACAGCAGTGTAATCTGCTCTCATTGAGACAGAGTATAGCGCGACTCATTATTCAACTGCACAGCTCACATAACATGGTCGTGTATCGATTGGTTCCTCGAATGACGACTACTCAGATGAGAGGTTCACTCATTTTGTGAACTTTTTTCCGCTGAGCCACTCGGATATTGATCGCAGTGTGTGAGTCGATTTTCAAATTTTCAGTTAATCGGCTCAAGGCGAGAACGATTTCACAATATGACCGAAACTCTAATCAGAGGAGTCGGCACCTAGTTGCATACAAACTTGTGGATTTCAACTGATTGTCACTGCGCTTTCTCACATGTATTATTAGAAGAAAACTAGCTTCATAATATAGTAGTTCTGATGTCTCCAAAAGCAGTTTCGTCGTTTGTGCTGCACCCGAATCCCACATCTGGGATTTCCAATAGCCGCATGTGTAATCTTGCGCGAGAACTCCTCTTTACGAGGATGTTACATTCCGAAAAACGTCGTCTCATTACATCTCATTAATTGTCAACTTCAGTAACATTAGTTGAGTTTCTGGCTCTAGGTTTCCAGTGTTAATAAACATGGGCCACTACCATCTTTATCTCGGGGTATTTTTTCGTCACGATTTCGCTGGTCGACTATCTAGCACACAGTCATGATATCATAAGCGTAGAGTGATCCAGACTGTGGTTGGGCAAAATGTCACTCCACAGTATGTCACAACCGCCAGGTGTGACACATGCTTGCAGTCTAACCCTCGATGAAATAAGTGTAGTGGTTAACGGCCCTATGGAGTCTCTAGTGAACTGAACAAATTACTGCTGTAAGCCAGATACAAAGTCACAAATAGAAAAATAAAAGCAAAATCTTGAATCACAGTTCAAAATAGGAGATTCCGTAGTTGCGTATTCCGTTGAACCACCACAGCAAGAATAGTTCTATCTTCCTGGTATCCCAGATCTCCGGTGATCGAAATATTATTCCACAAGCGTGAATATATTAGTCCAGCGTTTGCAGCTGAAATGTTTGTTCATGCTTAGTGTTAGCAGCGGTCAAATATAGCCAACCGGCGGTCACAACAACAGTCAATCAGCAAAAGTCTCAAAGTCACGTTGGAGCCAACGAGCGGGCGGTAGCGGTTGTATTTCAGTAAAACAAACTTTTGTACAGCGATGTGACTGATAATGATGGGGAAAAAGAAGATGATACTGAGCACGAAAAAGAGCAGTTTACAAGTGCTACATAAGTATCGATAGACTAGACCAAATTCTGGATAAACTGGAGGAGATACAGAATGAATGCACCTGATACAACAGACGGAGAGGTATGGCCCCTGCACATGCAAATTTTTCTATTAGAGTCTAAGAAGCTCCATAGTAAAGAGTATTCAACTGAATTCGCTGGTTGTTTTCCCAATAGACCATCGTTTACTACGATTATTACTGTTAGGAATTATCTTAGCACCATTTTCATTATATTTGCATGTCTTCGCGACTTTCGTAGCTTATTTTGTCAACCCATGATACACGATTTCATCAGCCAGACAATCTGGACATGTGACTGCCACCCACGTTCGTAGTCTTGGCAATATTTCAACCAATGGCAGACGCTCATGTCACGTGACGTCGCTATTCACCCACAGATTGCTCGGAACACTCTTGAATCTTTATTTTTGTCTGATTACCTAAAAGTCTTGGCCCGAGTAGAATAGTATTACGCTACTTCAGGTGTTCTGATATCCGTGCTTCAAGCTGGTTCTGGTTGGACGTTCACTGGGTCAATAGCTGGCGGCTCGGTTTTAGCCCTGACGGATGCCTCATCATTTATTGTTCTGCCGTTTGACGAACCTGTGTTTTGTTGACGCAATACATGATCCACATCATTGTCGTGGAGATCGGTGGTTACAGCCTAATGGAAAAATTTTGATCTGGATGTAGACCAGCCGCACCTCCCAACAAAACACACTTTTGTCTCTTTGGCAAATGGACTATAGATGAAGTATGACGTCTTTTATTGGTCTGGTGCTGCCAGAGTGATGCGATCTCCAGTGCGTACTTACAGTCTGGTAGATATATGCTGGCCACCCACTAAGGTGGTCGAATTAAGCTAACATGTTTAGACGTTGTGGACTCCATTAGTTTGTAGAGCATCAAAATTCCGCTTGAACTGATGCCGGTGAAAGCGTCCGTAATTGGCCAACATTTGTATAGAAGTTTTATCTGTTGAACCAACATTCAACTATCTTTATCCCGTTCTTGTAATTTGGGAATTTCGTACATGGATCGTACACAAACATGTTGACTTTGAAATAGTTTTTCAATAATTTGTGCATGCAGGAGAAAACGCAAGGTTCATGTAAATGACTAGGAGTAAGCGGTCCACAAACAGCGACCTCACATCTGCATCACCAGCTGGTAAAGTGCACCATTGAAGACATGATATTTTAGAGTAATTTATTTCTCCTCTCAACGTAGGACTTGCAATTTGAGGCGAGTTTACTTCAATTCATTCGCTATTCAAACAGCTGCTTAAAAATTCACATTTTCAACGTAGATTGAGACGCCGTAAGGAAACTGCGATCAATAAAAACCTTGTGATTCGCTTTGTGATGCACATTATTTCTATCGGTGACTTAGAAGCTTGAGAATCGAACATGTGTTGCTCTTGATCATGAGTAAGTTAAGTAAGAGCTAAGCATTAGAATGTGCTTCGTGATACCTTATACAAGCTACCATAAAACAGAATACTGTCTTTTTTCCACAAAGGAAACTACTCACAAGGTTGCTGAAAACTCTTCGACAGCCCATGACCGATTTCGGCCTTCCTGGGGCTCATCAGGTAGGCACAGTCCCCGAGTTTCCGTCAACCATATGTTCTACTTGAACCCAAATTGGACTGTTCTCGAGAAGTATACTCATTTACAAATCAATTTGGTTTTCACGAGAGACTTAACTGAATCTCTCGTTTATGATATCCTACAACTGGATGTACTGCGCACAGGTTCGATATTCGGGATATCGCAGTATACTGTCTGACCACAACTTGAGCACAGAAAAACGACGGTGTCGTAGTGGAGACGCCCAAAGGACAGACAGTTCGCCAGTCGTAGTGGAGACGCCCAAAGGACAGAACAGTTCGCCACCCTAGTAGCTGGTTGCTTTGGCTGAAACGCACTTTTGCTGCTAGAAAGGTGTTCCTACAATTTTGGTTCTAGGAGAACCTTACCATTTACACTCTACAGCTCAGTTGCAAAGTCATCTACCTGAAATAGATGGTGCTATTTTGCCTCTCTTTGGACAGTTTCAGTCTGACGGGTAACGATTCTCAAAAACGGGATGCTTCGTTTTTCACAAGGCATCTGAAGGAATGGAATGGTCGTGTCATTATTTATCCTGATCAAAATAAACTTTATAAGGCCAGTGGCTGTTACTTTGATCATATGAATTGCACAATTGTATAAGTGCTTCTTTTGGTGGCAAGCGAATGGTGGTTATACTGATTTATTCGATCATCTTGACGAGGGGTGAAGCGGTGACCACGTTGGGTGATGTCCTCTTAGTGGAGACAGTCTTATTCCCAACTGAGTAAAAAATGCTGGAAGTAAGGTCGGCGCTATCCATAAATTTATGAAATCAAGGCCAGTTGCAACCACGGGTCCAAAATTCCGCTGTTACATATTAAGGGATAAATATGTTGTGTCATTAGTTATAGTGTTTGTATGCTATATTATATATACTGTACTATATAATATACCATATAATACTATACTATATACTATACCCTGATATATATACTATACTGTGCCATACTATACCACATTGTACTTCACCGTACTACACTATGATATCTTAGCTTCAGTCAAGCGAAATTTCCGCTCGATGCATTTCCGTCTTCCCAACATCACCATTTGAAGATTTTCATTATTTGAAGATTTCCAACGGAAATGCCTTCACATCTGGAAAATGGGGCCCGATAGAGGGGAAGACGTTTCCTTAGTTGTTGCATCCTGTTTTTCGGAGAAGATAACTGTAATGCCCCCCTTAAGGATCAAGATGTACACTGAGTGGTGCTGTTTGTGATTGGCTGCCCACCAATTTTACACTTTGTTTGAATCATTCGAATGCAGCCAATCGTTTGGGTTATTTATCCACCAGGATTCCAAAACGGAATTCAGACTTTGGAGTATTTCATATCTCTTGATGTGACTAGACAGAGATTTCGAGTTAGTGGATACGGCAACCGTTGGGTTGAACTCGCACAAGTTTCCAGTAGTATCCATTCTGATTTCTCAATCTATGCATCACAAATTCACCTGTGACCAGTCGTCAGTCGTTGGGTTTAAGTCTGTGGTGGATGGATACTAAGTGAAACGGTATACGTACCCGTTCTGCCTAGACTTTCTAATAGGAGTGTTGTTTCCCAGACAGTCGAGTTTTCTGGGCCTGTTGTTGTGGAACGTGCGTTTTAGGCAGTTCAACATAAGCTAGGAAATCCAGTTAGCTACCTGCTCACCCAGGTGGCCCACCGTAACGAATCCACTGGTTTCCTAATTGTTCATCCAAATACTCAATAAAAACCCAGGTGTGTTGATTCTCTGCTCCATTTTGATGTCATCAACTTGAATCGATCGTGTCATCTACTTGCCACTGTGAAATTACGACAACACCAAAAGGAATGCGAGTGGGTGATGGAGCACCACCTCCCAATCGCGTTACTTGAGAAAAAAGGAACGCCCAGCCATTTTCCCAGCGGCGAGTACCGTTCAAACGAGATGGCACAGGATTGGACGTGGGAGGCCCTGTACGGGCGTGGAGTGAACCCATTCCAGAAATGAGGCTTGGAACCGTTAGTGTGTGAAGTAAACAACTGCACGAAATATACGAGCAACGCAGTCACTTTTCTTAGTCAGCAAGTCGTAGATATGGCAAGTGAAGTTTGCCAAAGCAGCAGTGCTTTCTTCGATCGCAGACTGTGAGGTGTGGCGCTACTGAGAGATTTTCCGCGTATTGCCCTCTGAACTCTTCCCAAAGGTTCAAAAAGCAGAAGTCGTCAGTTGATATACAAAGTCTACTCTGTATGGCACATACCTCCAATCCTCTGCATTTTATCCCACAGCGCGTACCTGCCTAAAACTAACCTGACGCCGGCGTTCAAGGCATCAAATCACCGGGCTTGTGCATTGTATCCATAGGCGTAGTGAAGCAGTACAATACTCATGCACTGCTCGATAGCCCACTGTCTTGCCTCGGCAGGAACGGTCGAGGCTGTAACGATGGCCTGTTCTTTCCCCATTGCTGTAACAACGGACTGTACGATGCTCTGCCCTGGCTATTGATTGTCTTGATACATTAACAGGATGTCCCAGTCGTACCGCTCGCATCTACTCATGTTATCGCCATTCGGTGAACGCCTCCACGATCAGGCGAACACGTGCCCACACACAAAAAATAGGAAAGACTGGCATGACTTACTTCGCACCGAGCTATCGTTGGGGCCATTTTCCGGTTAATGGGACGCCTGGATTGAGCGTTCCCACACCTAATCAAAACATTCGAGTTTTTTAGAGGCATGCATCATGTGTCAAGTAGATTGGATACACGCTGGTCTGCTTGTGGGAATTAGGCGTTTACTCCAACTAATGGATCCACAGGACTTTGAATCATCTTTTTTACAACTACCTGTTGTATGCGCATGCCAATTTATAGGTAAATTTATTCCACCAATCAGACATATCCAGTTCGATCCAGCTTCAGTGCAATACCAGGTCATGAATACAACACAACGCCCAGTTTCAAACAGCGTCATCATCCCTGCATCATAGCATATTCCCATTCAGCTATCAGTAAACTTGTGCGTACGAATGTGGGAATCACGTGAAAAGTGCATGGGTAGCAGCAATGATGGAATTCTACTGTTCCGAACAAGTTAGCTACCAGCTTTCTGAACTAAAGTACACCCACAATACCTAATGAAGGTCTTGGTCTCAAAATTATGGAAAGGTTGGCATACTCCATGGTACACAATTTCATCAGTAAGGAAGACATCCAGATATTCAAAGACCGAAATTAAACCGGTATTTGCGGAACAATGTCTTGTGTACTCATTGGAAATGATGCTTTTCAAGTAATATTCGCCCTTATGTCAACGCTACCCTCTTAAAAACCCTATGTATTTGAGTTTCTCCACCCGCTTATGTGGGCAATTGTGTCAGCTGTAAGTTTATTTCTTCTGGAGCCGGCCTACTAATAGTAATTGGTAATAGTAATGGATTTGTTGCATCTCCCGAGGGTGGGGTTTTCGAAGTAAGACAACAACAGCATATCAAGTACGCCGTTCTGCCTAGTGTGATTTGGCACACTATCGATCCGTTATTTCCCCATTCGCTTCTCCACAAATTGGGCAGCGCCGTCCGTGCTCGCAGCGGATAGAATTGTGATTTTCAATGTTAACGAATTACTGACAAACCAGCAGTAGCAAAATTTGTGTTCGTTTATTTTAACTCATTGAGGCGTGGGATATGCAATGACCGAAACGTGGATTCCGATCGCTTCATTGCTTTTGTTTTCCTATTAAGATAAAACTTGTTATAACAGTAATATTTTATGGCTATAATATCCCTAGCTGCTTCGGTGAGGCCTGATTTCCGTCGTACAGTAATTCCTGAAAAGCCTCCTCTTTGGGGTAACTCTATATAGATATCACGTACTGAATCCATTACGGATGACCTAGTTCATTTGTCGATAATCTGACTTATTGACGCTTTCATTGATGATTTTTTTAGGCAAAGAAGTTAGCAATCGTTGAGTTTGTTTGTCTTCGCGTAGCCCTACCATCAACCATAATTCTTGGCTGTGTAGGGACCTTGTGCATAGAAAAAGCTGAACAAAGAGTAGCCCAAACCGAAGTAAAGAACAAACTTTGGGAGTAGTGGGTATATACCTATTTTGATTAAGCGGTAATTTAGATGGGTGGCGAAACCCTGCAGGGAATGGATTAGGACTGCTCTTATTCCATATAAACCAGGGACATCGGAGGTCATTCGAAGGATCCTAAACACGGCTAACAAAACAGTAGCCTTGCAGAAAGGAAACACCCTGCACTCTGCACTGGTGCAATTCAAGGATCGCCTACCGACGAACAAAACCAAGTACTGTGTACACAAAATTAAGTGCAACGTCTGAATTAACATCTACTCAGGCAGATAGACAGGCAACCAGGTACATCACAATTGGAGAACACAGGGGAAAAATGAACAGGCCATCGAGGAAAGACTCAGCACCGGCGGAAAATACACTGGGCAAAGCAAACAAAACATACTTAGAAAGTGTTGAGGTTTTGAGGCGAAAACTACAGCCCATGCCAGACAACGATGGCTGAGGCGGTGGAAATATCCAAGCATCCCAGTCTAAATAGATTAAAAGGAGTAGAACTGGCAAGCGTGTCAAGAATGGTTTTGGATCATCACCTGTTGCTTTGCAGTTATCAGAGTCATCAGCACAAGAAGCTTAAGTCTGAATAGCACTTAATCTCACCAACCCCCCTGCCCCCAAATGAATTGTCGTAGCACTCACAAGTCTCCACAGACCAGCCAAGCACTTCAGTGTTACTCGAGGTGAATCATCAATTAAAGCACCTTGAAGTGAAAGATTAGGGAACTAACCTTCGATCAGAAACAATCCGAAACTCCCGCAACCCGTCATCCGCAAGAGTTAGTCAACCACACTAACCGACAAGACCCTGTACTTGAAATTCAGCACTGAATCTGAGTCTGATCAGGTCTTACTGACTGGTTCTCCGTCTACATTACAACCTGGCCGACTTAGTAACTTGCTCATTTGGCGCGATGAAGCTTTTGTGCCAAAAGTGAAACACTGCCCAATTTGAGACTACCGATTGTTTACCAAGCCTTTCTGATAAGAAAAGGGATGTTTTATATCGATTAGTGTTAACTGCTTGATCTGACGTGCCCAGGACAACTGGGATTTTTATTCTTGGAAAACCCTTATTAATGGCATAAGATTTTTTCCCACCCGGTTGCACCATCTTACATATTGATATCCCAGTCTTCCAAGTGAAATGTACACATTTTCAGTCGTAATTGATTTATGGCTGACTGCTCTCAATAACTGGACAGCTTGATGCTGGATACAGACCTCTTGGAACTAGGCAGCAAATCACAAACCTGATGCAGTACAAAGATATCTGTCTAATCGATCTACATAAATTTGAAATTGGTGCATACCTTTGATCGATAGTTACTGAGCCATCACGTGTCACTTCGTTCGCATTAGGGAAGTCACGGTGAAATATATGGATATATGTGGGATATATTTATGAGATATGGCGAGTCGACGGCTGCCCACGGCGTGCCCAGTCGTTTGGCCGCATGAGTGATTCGAAAGGATCTCTGGGGAGAAATGTTTTTCGGTGAGCAGGAGCACGAGTGAAGTAGCATAGCCCCTGGATTTCACTGGAAAATTATCGTAGATCTACCAAATGATGAGATGAATTGGTGGCCACTTTGTTGATTTTTCCAATCGGAACATTACCATGAATCCGTGAACTCAGGTGCGTAATCCTAATATGCCTTGTTGCGAGGACTTTTCATACCTCAAAAGCTGGCTAGAAGGGCGTGCTACAAATAAAAGCGAGTAATACATCGTGAAAGTGACCATTCTCCCAACTTAGGAGGCTCAAACTCGGAGTCGTACTTCCATGTTGTCTCTAGGGTTGTGCCAAAATACAGGGCATTAAAACTCCAGTAACCGCCTTGTGAGCTCATGCTGCGGTAAATTCTAACAATGGTAATTCGATCAATATATTTACTGCCATTCAGAGTCAGGGGCATCTGAGCCCTAGAACATGAAACTAAAACCATATAGTGAAAACACTTGTGAAACAAGCAGAGTGAACAACCAAATATCCGACTGTCCAAATCGTAGTGGGATAAATTTAACAGCTTGGTGTGTTTGCCTGGTGAAATGTCGGCCCACGCTACACATGAGTTCCTCCAAAACCAAACAAACCCGGGTTGATTAGGTATGAATTTGATGTGGCGTGATTTCAATCATACGTGGTTTCGGAATGCCACCTATGACACTCTCATGAGCGTGACATACAAACGTTTCGGTGTTAGAATAATTGCAGAGCGGTGCTTATTGATACTACCTGATTTAAGCTTCTGACTAACCTCGGTACTTCACTCCTACATTATGAATTTCTCAGGTTCCCGGCTTTGTTTTTTTTGTTTATTTATGAAGTGCACTAGTATGTGAGTCTGCTCCGAGTGTCATTAAGGAACGCAACAACCAGGGCAGAACATTTGTCGAATTCGAGAGTTGAAAGGACTTAAAATTAGAGATCAGTCGACATGTGCAACTTGAATTTCTACGGGTTATGAAGGAGAGACATACGATGGACAGGAGAGTACTTATTTTTCGATAGCATTAGCATTGCACACTTTGTGCATAGATGTTTTCTTACGGTAAACTATACCGCACGTTTTGTAATAGAACGCTCTTACTACTATGATTCCGAAAAAACCAAAGAAATTTAACCACATTGGACATGCGAACTTGGTCTAGATGGAGGAATAACCCACGAATGCGACGGTCGTGGAAAGCCACGTGATCGAAGTGCAGGTGAAGCTGGTACAATCGGTTTTGTCTGGTAGAAATACTACTGTAGTCCAAAAGCCGAACTCCTTATTGTCTGTGGGATCAACTATGGATGAGAACTCAAAGAAAGTTATTCACGTGCAGCTGACACCATTTTGATGAACCCAGACCATCAGCACCTGCGATGGGAACACGCGTATTTAAACAGCGAACTAGACAGACAGCAGGTACACCAACCGATCGAAACCAGATGGGTAACTGGTCGTCCTGATATAAACAGGTGAGGGAGCAAGCAATGACCAAAACTGGAAAGAAGTTTATTGCTTTTCCAGAAATACACTCATTTGCAAATCAACTTGGTTTTTCACAGAGACTCAACTGAATCTCTCGTTTATGATGCTCCACAACTGAATGCGCTGCACACAGGCCGCCTCATGTTTCAGTTGGCACGATATTCCAGATATCGCAGTCTATTTTCATAAAGGAAACTACTCAATTGAGTCTCTCGTGAAAACTAAATTGATTTGCAAATGAGTGTATTTCTCCAAAACAATCCAATTCGGGTTCAAGTAGAACATAAGGTTGGCTGCGCCTACCCGGTGAGCCTCAAAAAGCATGAAACTGGTTGTGAGCTGTTGAATAGTTTTCAGCAACCTTGTGAGTAGTTTCCTTCGTAAAAATATACTGCGATATTTCGCATCAACCGAAACATGAGGCGGCCTGGTGCAGCGCAGTCAGTTGAAGAGCACCATAAACGAGACATTCACTTGACTCTCATGTGAAAACCAAATTGATTTGCAAAAGAGTGTATTTGACGTTTGACCTGTATTCAAAAGAGAAGGTTGAGGCTTGTGTCCATCGATACAGTCAGTGTTTCACTAGATGTTAAGATAAAAGTAACTTGCGTGTTGTGGGGTTTGTCGGATGTGTATTGTTCACATTCACATCACTCTCGTTTGGACAGTCATCCTCCTGTCCTGGCTCAATTGTTCTGGTGAATTCACACCAAAGAGTGGGGGAAGCACTGGACTCGAGCTTCGCTCTTATTAGATCTCTTCAGCAGTGCAGCGAACAAGTTCANAGCAATGACCAAAACTGGAAAGAAGTTTATTGCTTTTCCAGAAATACACTCATTTGCAAATCAACTTGGTTTTTCACAGAGACTCAACTGAATCTCTCGTTTATGATGCTCCACAACTGAATGCGCTGCACACAGGCCGCCTCATGTTTCAGATGGCACGATATTCCAGATATCGCAGTCTATTTTCATAAAGGAAACTACTCAATTGAGTCTCTCGTGAAAACTAAATTGATTTGCAAATGAGTGTATTTCTCCAAAACAATCCAATTTGGGTTCAGGTACAACGTAAGGTTGACGGAAACTCGGGGGCTGCGCCTACCTGATGAGCCTCAAGAAGGGCGAAACCGGTCGTGACCTGTGGAGGAGTTTTCCGCAAGCTCGTGAGTAGTTTCCTTTATGAAAATATACTGCGATATCTCGAATATCCTGCCAACTGAATCATGAGGCGGCCTGTGTGTAGCACATTCGGCTGGAGGACATGATAAACGAGAGATTCAGTTGAGTCTCTTGGAAAACCAAAATTGATTTTCAAGTGAGTGTATTTCTCCAAAACAATCCAATTTGGATTCAAGTAGAACGTAAGGTTGACGGAAACTCGGGGGCTGCGCCTACCTGATGAGCCTCAAGAAGAGCGAAACCGGTCGTGGCCTGTCGAGGAGTTTTCAGCAACCTTGTGAGTAGTTTTCTTTATGGAAAGTTTATTGCTTAGTTTGTTAATCACCTGGATCAAAACCCCAGGACACAGAAGATGACGGGATCGGTAAAATTTCTGACATAACTACTGGGGAGGCTGGCTGCCTTATCATGAAGAACACCCGACAGATTTGCAATTTGTTGATAGCCCAAATAAAGCTGGGTTAAAATTATCTTGGATTAGATCAGCACTGCTTTTTCAGTGTTATTTTTATGAAAAAATACCCGTTACGTTCGCTACCTGTATTTATACATGTTTCATGATAAAACTAATCACCGGCCAAAACCTCTGGTATCATCTCAAGGCTTGTACACTGATCTCTGTGTGTTTAAATTCGTCCCGGGTGTGAAAAATACCTACTATCTCTCTCTCTTTGCCCGAATTTTTCAGCGTTTTTACTGTGGCTACGACTGAAGTATGCTCTTCGAAAATGGGTCACCTTTTGTGCATTTCGGCTTCAGAGTTTATGAACACTTGTTCAGCGAACTAGAAATTGATGCAAATGGTCTGGTCCATCATATCTGCGTGTGTGACTAACCGCAGATCATTTGCACATGTGCATGACATGCCGGAACACAGGTGAGAACATATCTGCATAGTCGGGGTTATGCGTCTGCATAAAAGACGAGCCCTTTTTCACTCTGCAACAGGTGGTCGGGATTGCTAGTTGGCACATTACAAATGGAATAAATTTGCAGATTTATGTGGTAGAAACTCATTCGATCCGAGTACCAGTTCATAAATGAACTCTGACAACTGCATAGAGTGAGCAGCCTGAAAAACGATCTTGAAAACGTCGAATGCTGCGAAATGCTTTCAAGATGATTTCGTCACTTGAGACAATGATCATGTGTGGTCTTGCTTCATGGTCATCCGACAGATTCGACCTACAGCATACTCTGGATGAAACTGATCAACAGTGGGGCTAAACGGGATTTCTAAGCGCTAATTACATAGAAATGAAATGAAAACAATTGAAAGTTCGAAGTAAACTTCAATGAAGAGAGGAAGACCAGCTGCCAAACAGAGAACTTTGTGAATTTTTGTGAAAAAGGCATTTCGAATTTGTGTTTAGATTAAACGGTATCAAAGGGTAACAAAATATCCGGGGAGTGAACCGATGTCTTGCTCTTTTAAAAATAGCTTATTGGCTTCGTTCGGTTTATAAGTGTCTTCATGAAGAGGTGTATATGACACGGACAAGAAATTCCTTTCGTGACTGTATGCAATGAAAACTCTTTATATTAAATTCCCTTACGGGGATTCACAACGACCTTTCTGTTATCACCAGAGATCCCATTACATCAAAGTTTCAACACAGATAAGACACACTGTCACCTTATGACCCGAACTAACGGAACGCCGCTTTCCTAATACATATCGTGTTTAGATTATCTCCCCTATTTCAACGGCAAACGTTCTATCGGACGCGTAGCCTCATATGTTTCTTCTATGGTCACATTAAAAGTACGACGCAAAATTATCACTACGAATTATTTCTTTTTTTCTGAATAGAACCCGAAAGCATTTTATTGTACACTTTAAATGAGGAGGAGCTAAGTTTTGAATATTCACTTTCCAATAAAACTTGACCAGTGGTGCCTCAATGTCATGTTTGCAGTGTACTGGACAGTGATGATCACTTGCTGGTTGGTGATGAAACAATGAAAACACGACAGTTCGTTTAAGTCAATGAAAAGTGGCAGTGATTGGGAGAGATAGTTTGGACACAGAGTTACATCGAACTAACCCAAAAGTGTGCTGCAACCAAAGTGAGCCTCATTGAGGACATTGACAAACGGGCTACTGGTAGAAACTTGAGTAGAAACTTGATGTTTGTTGGACGCAAACAGGCGTATCAAGTGTCAGCCAATTGTCGTTCTTTGGTCCTCCGTGTCTAGGTACTCGAAGACTGAGAAGGAGCTTTGAGTGACCGGCATGCAGTAGTGCAATTCATGTTCGTACGTGGGTTGGGATACTGCCAAGGAGCTCACATCTAGACATGATATCTGAAAGTTACATTGCCCAAACACTTTTCACTGTACACCGCAGACGGCAATCTCAGGACCATTTAATAGCGAATGCCAGCAAAACGCTTCTGCATAGGGACGAACATCTTTCTTTGAAGGGTGGTTAGGTCATGAACTGCCCCTAGTAATGTTTTCGTTGCCAGTGCGAGCTAGCCAACAACCAACGGCCGTCTGAAACCGGCTACGACATTTTCCCATACAAATCATGTGATGAACTCGACAAGAAATTCCAGTTATTGTAATCACCCCCTGAACACTAAACTGATGTTTGCGGTGTGACTGAAGGATGTATAAAGCACAATCTACCAGACGTTTAACCTTCATTAGGACTCTTCAGGCGGACTCAGTTGGACCGAGCAGGCGATGCTCTGGGTGAATGACCATGGGTGGGCGCAATGAGAGCACAAACTTGGTTCAATTCATTCAAACTAACGTGTTACTCCAAACGACGGATTATGATTCATCCATTTGTTGAGCCCAGGACCAAACACATTGTGCTCGACAGTTGTTCATCAAATGATGTACATGTCGACGTGTTGCTGTGTGCTGTCGAGTGGCCAGTCAATCAACCATCAGAGGGAATCCCCATCCACCCGCATCGGAGCCGCGTGAATGAATAATTGACAAAGGTCATCAGGGCGAAACGGCGACGGGACGAACAGTGAATAGTGAACAGAGTAATCTGCAGAAGTCCACAATCGAATAACCGGCAGATGTCAACAAAGGTGAGTAACTTCACACACGCCAACCAGATACACCAGGAGAGTGTTCAGCCGACCGTTACACCATCCTTGCGAAAATTTCATCGTCATCATCAACGACAGCATGACATCAGTGTTCAACACCGATGCTTCACTGCCGTACAGCCATGATTTATTTCAAAGTTTTATTGTGAAGAAAAGAATAAAGGTGGACGGGGAAGGGACTTAGTGCGAGCTTGCCACAATCATTCCGAGGTGCCTGCACCTCCAGGCATTCACTCAGGCAATCTGGATAGAAACTGACAACAGGAACGCCACTGACATCGGTTGGCAGCATCTCCAACCAGGCGCAGCGAGGACCACGTGATCCTCATCCTGGAAGGCGAGTAGCACCGACAGCCCCAAAGCGTTTCGTGATCTCCTTCATACTCCTCTGCCGAGTCAAGGGTTGGCCACTTCTGTGTACACCACTTTGAATTGAGCATGGAAAGCAGCACTCTCTTCGGCAAACGGTGGTTACGCATATGCCAAAAGTGTCCCAAACAACGCAGCTTCTGGTGCTGGACACATTGTTCAATGGAAGTACCCGTTACACAACCGAAAATTCGCTCTCTCACTGCCTCGTTACGGGTACGCTGACACTAACCCACACGAGCTATGGTTCTGAGAAATCCAAGTACGACGAACCACAGCCCTTCCGGTCAATAAATTCACGTTCTAAACACTTGAGCCACGTCGCCCGTCATAGGCATTTGGAAATACGGAACTCCGCAATAGTTCCGTCATTTGTTCCCGATGCTGTTTTCTGTAACCGAATGGACGTCAACATGTAGTTCACTGTAGACACCACAGTGGGGCTGAAGGGGATCAGCTGGTCACACTTTCGTCAAGGTGTACTGGTTCATACGGGCATTTCAGCTGCACGCACGTAACGTTGATAAGGCACCCGTCTTACAAACGGGAGGCCAGTGTTTTGACTCCACCTACACTCTTCCGTCCAACTTGGGCCACACATTTCACACTTACCCGAATGCTATTCTACTTTCCACCGACTTGCACCGGTGCACTCACTGTGAATCATACTCAGGTTTTCACTACGTAAAGGGTCGGAAATACGATCATTGAAGAACCCTCGGGTATCAACATTGCGTATATGCATCAGGGAACCACAAGAGTAAATGTGTGCTACCAGATGGATTAATGCAGTCAATAAAGCGTCGCTTTTGCGCTCCTGCTATGCCACCGTGCTGCGGGTAGTGGAATGTTGGCTTCTTTCGCGGAAGAAGCTTGATTATTTCATAGTCGGGAGTGAGGATGGAGTACAAGACAAGTTAATCACGATTAGTCACCCTAGTAAGGTGAGCTTTGAGGAGGAATTTTCAAAGAAACTGGTGACGTTCCGGTCAGAAGCGCACCAAGCAGTGTCGGTATGTCAGACGAGACGCAGAGGCGCTTCTCATACAGGCCCGTCCATCGTCATCGGTGGCAAGGGGAGAAGAATGGTTCTCCGTATGTATCGACAGCATTGTATCACCGATCATGTAGCGTGAATCCGTCTATTGACGACTACTGAGTCCACATCGATCAAAGTTCGAAAACCGGCGTGTGCGCAAATTCGTTGAAATCGATCCGGTTGCTGTGATGATGGTCACGTGAGCCCTTGTGGATAGTTAGTTAAGTAACTGTAAAACAGTACGTGTACAAAATTTGCATGTTGCACCTGTGCATACGGTGAACGGTAAATATCGCAAGCCTGCTCATCAGGCCGTTTTGGCGAAAGAGAATCGAAACGTGGAATGTTTCTTTTAAATCAGACAGTTGCAACTTGATTCGTCTAACCTAGGCACGAATAGGAGCTTCGGGTGTATTGCCAATCAACTCTAAATGGGGTGGTACTAAACATATTCACACTGTCGCTTGGTCTGATATTCAGAGTGGATTACTAATAAAACGGTCTCCAACCTTTCTCTATCATGGAGATATCCGAATGACATTCCATCTCCAAGACCCCTGACGAAATGTGACATTGTGAACCTGCTTCTTTCAAGTTACAATGCCAGCATGATGCACCTTGATCAACAGATATACTGAAGTCTCTCTAGGACAAAAGCTGATGAAAGTGGTGGAAATTGCTTTTTCCGCAGGGTATGCTGCATCAGAGTGCAGAAATAACCAGGCTTGTCTGTGACTCAGAATATACCTTAAGTTCACTTTTAAATTTCGGGTCGATCAAAACAGGTCATTACCATGGATGAACGCCGCAGGGATGTTGTACGGTTCCACATGTAGAAATCCACTAGAGGAGATTTCTCCCTATGAAGCTTCCGAATTAGTTCTTCCTAGTGGCCTTGCCTTGTTGTATAGTCCTCCGTATGCAGTCGTCCCAAGAAAAACCACGTTTTGTTGCATGACGTGCCAGCTATTGATAAGAATGCTTTGATTATTAAACATCTCTGGGGCAGTTTTGAACTACTCGTCTGCCCATCCGAAGTCCGTATTTGCAAGTATTGCGTGATCAATGTTTAGGCGCGTAAGGGCCCTGTGCACAGAAGAAGCTGATCGGACAGCGGCCCGAATTGAAGTAA